TAGGAGGGGACAGGAAGGAACCTGAGAGGCAGAGGGGGAGCCCTGGGCCAGGGGGACCCGAGGGAGGCCTGGGAGGCAGGACGCAGGGGGGGAAACTGAGAATTGGAGTGGGAGAGATTCTCACCTTTTAGTCCTCCAGGCCCCTGTTGGCCTGAAGTGTGACTGCTCCAAACTTGAGGTAGCACTAACACTGATCAGCATTTGTGCAGCTCACAGTGTAAGGTTTAGAAAGACTCTAAGCCTCATAAAACTCTAGTAAGCATGATTAAAAGATGGAAATTAAGGGCGCCTGTACATGTGCAGAGAGGCTGCTCCAATGTGCTGTAATTACAGTGAATCGGAGTGGACTCAGTTATTTGAGTTTGCGGAAGCATGGTAACTATTGTGTTCAAACAGACTCCAGCATCATGTTCATCAGTGTCCCCCTGCTGAAAAATGGTGATGGGGGCGCTTTAACTAAAGCTCATTCAACAAACTCATACAGGTGATGCTCCTGGCACTTTAATTAGATCATGTGTATAAATGGCCTAAGGTTCCAATTCTGCAAGCATATACTTGAGACTATAGATAAAACAGCTCATATATTTCAAGTCAAACATGTATACGTGTTTGCCTACAATGCTAAGAACCAGATTGGTAAGGATACCAGTAAGCAATTACTACCTGACTTTCACTGAAATAACAAATCTAAATACCATATTTACTCCAATATAAAATGGCCTTGACTATATGATGACCCCTGCTCTGCAATTATTAGATTCTATATCTGGAAAATGTATACATTTGTTATAATATTCCAGATATAGAATCTAATGGGAGTCGTGTCTTGAATTTGTCCCTCTCCCACTGGTACAGCAGAGAAAATAAATCTGGAGGATCAGGTGTCCTCTGCCTCCCTCCACCTTCTACCCCTGAAGCCCCTACCCCCCTTCCCTGAACATATGGCAGTGAGGGACAAATTTGAAAACACTGACATTGAAATAAACATACCAGTAGTAGGTGCACATAGACTTAATTCATCCAGAACTGCTGAATTTTACTTTTTTTGAAACTGCTGCAAATTTTGGCACAGGTACTCCTTAAGCACACTTTTAAGCTGTACTTTTGAATCTACTTATATATGGTACAAACTATACATGATGTTAGTTCAAAGTCAAAAGGCCCATGATTTACCATGTAGTTCATTGGGGAAGGCCCAAGCAGAGTCAACAGTGTTTCAAGCCATCATGACACCACAGTTCAGTGCTGCTCACTATGGGCATGCCCCCACATGCATATCAGTTATCGCTTGATGCAAGGATGATATCTGCTGGGAGTTGTGGGATTACTGGTGAGTTTTAAGGTGGTTGAGGATTCCAATCCATGTTTTGCAAGTTTTCTTCACAGATATCACAAGTGGTGCCTTGGGGTGGGGCATAACTGTTGGCCACGATGTGTGGTTTCCTTCCTCCTCTGCCATTTCTTGGCATCCTGAGCAAGACAGTTCTCTTTGAAGTGGGCAGCAGCTTGATGTATGGTACAGTGCCATTGAGGCCCTTTACCAGCCAGGACTTCCCAATTTGTAGGGTTAATGCCACCCTTCTTAAGGTATGTTTTCAGGGTGTCCTTGTAGTGTTTCCTCTGTCCTCCATGGGTTCTTTTACCATGACTAAGTTGAGAGAAGAGGACTTGCTTCGGGAGACGAGTGTCAGCCATCTGCACACAGTAGAGCTGATGTTTCATGATCTTTGCCTCAATGCTGGTTATGTTAGCTGCAGAGAGGATGTTGGCATTAGTGCAGAGCTATACCCATCTAATGTGAAGGATCTTCCAGAGGCAGTGCTGATGGAACCATTCTAGGTTCTTAAGGTAGCTTTGATATGTCACCCACATCTCACACCCATAGAGGAGCATGGGAATAAGCACTGCATTGTAGACCAGGATCTTACTTTCCATCTGCAGATCTCAGTCAGCAAAGACATAATGAAGCAGCTTTTCGAAGGATATGCTGACACAGAGAATCCTATGTTTGATTTCTACTTCTACATCAAGACTGACTGACTGGGAGAGGTGACTGCCAAGGTATAGGAAATACTCAATGTTTTCCAGGGGTTCTCCACCAATGGTGATTTGTTGGGGCAGAGAGACAGCTTGTGCTGGATCATGCTGATGAACCACCTTGGTCTTTCCAGGGGCACATGTTTGCCATGACACAAATAGCAGGAGCACAAATTTGTGCTGCTACTTTTTGCCACTGTGCATGCCCCTGCACATAGGGTTTGCTGGAGGGCAAAATGCCCCACTTCAGGAAGCTGCTGTTTCCCTGCTACTCCTAGCTTTTGGCATGCTGGAGGGAGCTTGGAGGACACCTAAAGCAATGGAGAAACTCTGGGCAACAGCCAGAGCATCTCTCTGAAGGATCCAGCCTTCAGTTGTTCCAGTCCATGATTCTGAGACACCATAAACTGCAGGTGAATGCTTGCCTGGATGCGGTCTATGGGCATGTGCAGGCATCTGTGAAAGTTTGGTTCCCCAGGAACAAGTAGCAGCAGTGCACCTTGCACCACCACTACTTGTCCCTGGGGAACACCTGTGCCACATGCAGTTTGGTGCATGGCAAGGTACCCCAGGGGTATTAGGGGAGGCTGGCGCCAGCACCTTGCTGTCCCCAGGAGCCTTTTTGGGCTGCAACCACAGTGATCCTGCCAGGTGGAGCCTGGCTGGCAGCTGCAGCACAGCTCCAGGCAGCCGGACTCCAGTTTTCAGCAGCACATGCTGCCTGAGCATGCAGCATGGATATCCAGGGGTCAAAAGAACCTACAGAAGAAAAAAAGAAACGGACCAGTGCATGCTTGGGCAGTGCACCCTTGTAGTGTGGAGAACACCAGAATCTGTGGTATGTTGTGCTGCTACTGCCTGACCATGCTCATCTGGATGTGCCCAATGTGTGTGTACTCCTAATACTCCCACAAAGAATCCATGTGCTAATTAACCCTTCATTGGGCACGTCTGCATGAGACAATGTGCAGAAGACTCATTCTCCTGCACATTAGTGCAGCAGACAAAGCTTGTGCTGATGCGCTAATGTGCAGCCGATTTAGTCTAATGTGTATTAGTGCTACCAAAAAACTGTTCATCTGCACTAATGCGCAGTAGTGCTGAGTATGGTGCATTTAGTACCTGTCATTTCAAATACTAAATTTAATGCACTGTAATTATGGTGCATAAATGATCATGTAGATGCACCTACTCATGACAGGAACTGGGATCCTCCAATCATTTGTATGTAGATGAGGCATAGGTCAACCTGATCCAGCTCCACCTCATGGAAGGTGGGGCCACACTAATCATATGCAACAGACTGAGAGAGAAGCCAATATGGGGCCTCTGGGCGGACTCTTTAGGGGCCCTGCTTTATGATGTTTGTCAGACACTGAAGTCTTGTGAAGAAACAGGAAGAATTGGAAATGGGACAGAAAGGCATAGTTCAGGTGTGGGAGTGAAGAGGAAGTTGAAATGTATTCAGTGTAGTGGCTCACTATGACTTGAAAAAGAGTTGGCGCTGAGGGGGGACTGCATGCAGTAGGCACTTATTCAGATGGGCTCTCCTTATGGTTAGGTTCCCATTAACATTGAAAGCCTGATCTATGCCTTAAAGGCAGAGAAAGGGATTATCAGAGCATTGGAATTTAAGGAGTGAAGGCGGTTGACTCAAAGTTCAAAACAATGGCAAGTAAGCATGAGGTGAAAAAAGAGTTGAAGAGCAGAAATGAAGATTTGGAGAAAGATGGAGAGTGGATAAAGGTGAAGAAGAAAGGAAGAAAGAAGGTAACGGAGGGAGTAATGGTGGAGGTAGCAACAAAAAGAATGATAATGCCAGAGGGAAGACAGTAGCAGAGGAGAGCAAGAGACAAAGCAGGAGCAGCAAGAAAAGGTACATTGGGTGAGAAGCAGAGGACAGTGGGAGCACACAACAGGCTGGTCCACTGGGAGTGGCATGGTGGGAAAATGTGGAAGAAGTACTGAGAGAAGCTAGAAAGGAATGGAGGCTGCAGATAAAAGAAACATTAACAGACAATGAGAGGCAAACTGGATCAATGATAAACAGATACGATTTCCTGGAGAAGGTACTGTGTGAGATTTTGTAGGTGCAGGTGGAGTATCTCACCAGCCTGATTGCTTTCTCAAACTGAAAGACTTGGGAACTGACTTACTGGGATGGACAAGAGTATGAACACTTTTGGAGGAAATATGCAGAGAAACATAGGAGGGAGAAATTAAGACGGATAAAGTTCACAGCAGGGGAAAAGTCAAGAGAAAGAGTGATTATAGTTAGAATGTACGCAGATTTCCTAGAGGAGAAAGACACCGAAAGATGGATGGTAAAGTACATCCAAAGGTATTGTTGGTAGAGAAACTAAGGGAGAAATATGGTATCTGGGCAGGGTTTTGGAGAGCATGTTGTACTTCCCATTAATGATCCAGATCAGGGCACACAAGGGTTTTATAATGTACCATGGGCAACCAAAACAGTGCAGCAAATGAAGAAAAGTGGCACCTGTCTGCACACTGCCCCCCTTGTGGTGTACTACAGATATGAAGGGATGGGAAACAGAGCAGCAGAGTGCACAGTCCCTAAAATGCACCATTTGTATGGGAGAGGGACATTTGCATTGTAGGTGCCCCAAAGCCTTTGCCAATTATATTCAGACCCCCTGAGGAACAGCAAAACCTGGAGGAGGGGAGAAGAGAGGTTGGACACTGAGGTAGAAATGGTGGAAGAAACCCTGCAGGAGGGTGGAACAGAACAGGCAGGGGGAGGGAGAAGGGGGAAGAGATTTCTGTGATTGAGGCACCACAGGAGAAGATAGGAGATGGAAGGAAAGGAAGATGGAAAAGCAAACAGCTCAGACATAGAGGTGGCGTTGGGAAAGAAAGAAGACACCCTACAGACAATAGAAGTAGAGATGGAGCAAGAGAAAGAACCAGAGAGACGAGCTGGGAAAAGAACAAAAATGTTGGGGCTGAAGACCAGGAAAAAGAAACCTGATAATGAGGGAGGTGAGTCAGAGGAAGAGCCGGGAGAGCAGTTTCCTGTCACTAACACCTCTGGATTCGAGCCCAGAGTGGAGACCAGAAGGTAGCAAGTGGTGGGGAGGCAGGAATGTGCAAGACCTCTGTAGCCTCCTGTGCCACTCACCAGTGAAACTCATTTGTATGAATTTTTCCGGTTTCGCTGTCACTTGAAGAAAGGACAGGGTTAAATTCTGGAAAGTCCCCAGGGGTTCTCTCCTGCCACATCTTGCTGAAATAAATTAGTTTAATTGGGAGGAAGATGGTATGTCCCACCTTTCCTGGTACCTTCCTTCAATCTTCCTGTCTGCCTTCCTGCTTGGGGCTCCGCCTCCCCTACATTCCACCTAATGCCAACTAAGGGTGTTATTTCCCGATTTCTAGGTCTGGCCTGGTGTAGGCTCTTCTATTTTGGCACTTTGAATTATGGTGATTGGATTCAGACGCTGTTTCTTCTGGGTTTTCTCAGGCTGTAACTCCAAACTCCTTCCCAACCCTGGGTTACCTTGCTCCCCGGCATTTTTCTCTCTCAGGTCTGTACTTGCCATGGTTCAGACATCCATCTCAAGTTTTCTCCTCAGGTTTCTCCTGGGTCCAGTCCTGACCAAAGATATCCAAAGTCCACAGTGTTGCTTCAGGTAAGTCACTTAGCCTTCTAAGCCTCCTCAGCTTATCTTTGAAGGCCCCTTCCTGCAGCAGCTACCACTTCCCCTCAGTGGAGCTCTGTTCTGCTCTGGGCCCACCAAGGAACCCACTTCTGGTCCCCTGTGCTTCTTGTCCGCTGGGCCATTTATTCTAGCATTAAGGGACTGACTGGTGAATTGGCACTGGCACGCTGCCATAAAGCATGCCCATGCCGGCACAGGAGCTGGTCCTGGCTCCTCCTGGATACGTCATTCCTTTTTCTCCTTTTCCCTTAGCATGGCATTTTTTCCTGCCATGGTTTCACTTTCGCTGTGCTCCCGGCCTGGCTCGGTGCAGCGTCTCGCCAGCTCTGCTCCTCACTCACTCAGGGTAAGTCTTCTCTCATGGCTCTGTGTCTGCCACACCCTCCTAAAAGTGAAAGTGATCTGGCAGCTTGCAAAGGCTACAGGAATGTGAATGAGGAAGCAGGAAGAACTGACCACCCGGAGCAGTAGCAGAGACAAACCTTAAAGCAACAGGTACATTCAGCTCAAAGCAGACATAGTTAAAGCTTAAAGGGACAGGTGCGCTCATTTTAAAATAAGCATACATGACATTGACAGTAGTTTCACTTAACATCAGGGATATCTTCACAAGGAAAAGATGGGAAAAGATTGAACTAGTGTTGAACCAAGTAAGGACAGACAGTCTGCCTCCAAAAATGTGGCATACCAGGGCAGAGGGATTATAAATACTTTGAAAAAGGGTGGAGATGGGGACCGTCTTGGTGGTCAGGGACAAATGAGAACAAAGCAGCAGGGATAGCAATATTATTCAAGAACCCAGAACTGAGAACAAAGCAGGTAGAAGAAGTCACAAGTGGCAAATTGCAAGGAATGATACTATCAGTCAGGGGAACTGTAGCAGGGTACTCAAAGGTGCCTGTTCCTTTAAGGCTGAAGCAGTTTGACCAGGGCAGCAGAGCTCTCCAGATGTGTGTTGATGGGGTAATAGTATAAGGAGATAATTAGGTAACACCTGCAGGAGTCACATGATTGGAAGGAGGCAGGGGTTGGGCTACATAAGCTCAGGGCAGAAGCCAGCAGGGCACTCTCTCTGGCAGCTGCTGGAGAAGGAGCTTCTGCATGTGGAAGCTGTCTAAGAACTGGTACTGCCTGCTTTACTGCTCAACTGCTGTGGAACTATAGGAAACTCCCAGGTACTTAGGCTAGAGAGTATGCTGTATTAAGGGTGTTAGTTTGATCCTTAAAGGGGGCATAGCATTGGAGTTGTTGATAATACTTAAGTTATAGCTTAGGGGCTTTTGTTTGTGTTTCTGTTTATGAGAGGACTGGGATGAGGCTAAAAGGGGAGGTTTGGAGGCCTCATTAGTGCTTAGATAAAAGTTCCCAGAATTTGGGAAGAGCTAGTGACAGGTACACAGAGAGAGAGATGCCCTAAGGGCACAACTACGGGGCTCAGAGAGCTCTAGCACCAGAGGGGTGGAGAGATGGGGGCACAGAGATGAAGGTACAGAGAACCCTAGCACCAGAGGGGCACAGAAACAAGGGTGCAGAGACAAGGGTGCAGAGAACCCTAGTGCCAGAGGGATGCAGAGATGAGGGCTTTGTTGGTCTTATTTGTCAAAGTGTTGGAAACTGGTGGAAGCATGTTTTAAGTTTTGATACCTTATAGTTTCATTTTCTTCTTTGTTGATGTAGTTTTTGTAACTCAATGTAAGCTGATGAAAGCATGTTTTAAGTTTTGATCCTTTATTTTTTTGTTGGCCTAAAATTAATATAGTCTTTTTGTAACACAATGTAAGTTGATGGAAGTAGGTTTTTAAGCTTTTGATACTTTCATAATAATAATAAAAAGTTTCCTATCTGCATGTTTGCCCAATATAAGCCAAGTGTTTTACAGTTAGGTTCAGTGCTGGTTGCATTTAATTTACTTCATAGTTAATTATGAAGCTAAATGCAACCAACACTGAGTATACCAAACCACATGCTGCTTTTGGCAGCAGTTTCATGATAGACAGTATAGGCAGTCCTCGGACTTACAACACGGTTGGTTCCTGAAAACTTTAAGTCGAAATGTTGTAACTCGGAACCAATTTTCTCATAAGAAACAATGTTATAAATGGGGGATTGGTTCCTGAACCAAGGCCTGATACCCTATTTTCACTAAAAATACCCGAGAATTTTGTACTCGATCAGTTATAGATGAGTAATATAGCTACGTTAATGTATTTATATTGTACATAGCAATCATATTGATTTGGAAAGACTTCTTTAAGGTGACTTTGCTGGACTTTTTGAAAAGCTCTTGGTTGAACTTTTTGAAAGGCTCTTGGCTGGAGTCTTCTCAGGAGTCTTGGCTGCAGGTTTTTCTGGAGTCTTGTCTGCTTTCTTAAAGAAAGCGTCCAAGGCAGTTTGGACAGATGTTCTCCAGGGAGATGAGTGTTGCTGCAAACTTGTTCGCTGGCATGGCATTGCATTAGATCAAGCATTGTAAAGTTGAAACTGATGTCATAAAGTTGAAACTGGGTGTCAATTTATAAATGTTGCAAGTGTGAAATGTTATAACTCAAAACACTGTAAGTCAAGGACTGCCTATATATTTAATGAAGTTTCCTTGTATGAAAATATAAAATGAAGGGCTTTTCCCTGATGCTGACTGGGGGAAAAAGCTTTGTCTTGTATTCAAGTATGTCAGAAAACCACCGTGTAAGGACGTGGCCCTCTTCACACCAGTGACGTCTGGGAGCCTGCCCTCACTGAAAAGAAAACCCTGGTGACTTAGCCAGACGGGGGTTCCTCCTTGCTCTCGCCTGCCATGTCTTTGATGTTTTTACTGGGTTCTGGGAGGGATGATGTTCACCCAGGCTGGCCCAGGTGTGGGCATCTCCAGTGGGTTCGACTCCGGAAAAAAACACAACAATGAATAAATAAAAAAGAAGAAATGGAACGAAAACTCAGCTGGCAGGCTTAACTGCTGCCCTGCCTACAGCCCACCAGCTCTCATGGCTCCTGCTGCACAATTCTTACAGCTAATTCAATTAACTGACCTGCTACCATGATAATTGATGGCTTGCAGTGGCAATTAACACCTGTTATGAATAATGAGCTCCACCGAGCTCTCAGATCAATTGATCTGCTGCCTTGTTCCTGGGGAAAGTTTTCTCTCAAGTTTTGTCTTCAGCAGGTCCATCCAGCCCACCCCTCCTCACTCTTCTCTCCTCTTGCTCGAGCTGCCTGGCTGGAAATACCTCTCAGAGCACCAGGGGTCCCAATCTGGCACAGCTGCCGAGGCAATAAAGCTGGCTCTGGGCATGCCAGGAGTTCCCTCCTCAGTGTGGTCATCTTCCTCGCAGGTAAATCATGGCTCGGGCTGCTGCGCTTCTGTGAAGGGACACCGCTAGCCTCTTCATAAGTAAATATGGTACCTTTAAAAATCTGTCCCTAGGAATCCAAGTTTGATTCACATGAAATGGTATCTCTGCAGTCAATGCCACTGGTTATTCAGCGTTAGGGTTAAGAAATGTTAAGGTTAAGAACGTAGTTAAGAAATGTCACATGATTTGCCAAGCATCATATAAAAAAACTAGGAGTAGAAGTTGGATCTCCAGATTCCCAGTTCTATCCAAAGGTTGAATGCAACCTTAGGGAGGATCTAAGATTTTGAAAATGGGGCTGGGGGAGGTTGGGGAGGTTTGCAAATGGTGTGGTGCATCATCACATATAACAGCACATATTTTTGCCCAGGCAAAAATAAACTAGAAGCTTTACTAAAACGTTAGGGATCTAGGTTTATATGATTCTTTTTAAGATGAAAGCAAAAAAAAACAAATATAACTTTATTGGAAAGTACATTGATTTGCTATATCATACATTATGTATTAATAAAAACACACTAGGCAAAAGATAATCAAAAGTTGTTGTTTCTTTAGTCCTATAGTCATTAGAATTAAATATACTGCACATCTCTTTCAGATTCACAAAACAAAATCAAGGCTTCTTGAACATCTTGTCAGTGTAACCAATCCTTCACTGAAAATTATTTCCACACCCAGATTAATGTTCACCTGAGTTGTTTTCACACCTGAGTAAATGTTTTTAGCTAGAGTTAAAGACAGTCTGCAAGGCTGTGAAATAGAAGCTGCATTACCAGGAGAGGCTAGAAACAGTAGAATCTCAGAAGAAAGAATAGATTGATTAGTGGAACATTTAAGAGTACTAAAAAAAGGAGCGGGCCATTAATACCCATGGAGTGAAGAATTTAGAAGGAATTAAGTAGATTATAATGAGCCATGAAGTCAAGTGACTCCCTCATTGCTGCCTAATTAGAAATACTGCTGGCATTGCCAGGTAGTTGATTTAAAACCTTGGGTAGACAAGGAATCAAAAGTGGGGGGGGGGGA